GTTCATTGAAAATAAAAAAAATCACAAGCACTTGAGCAAAGATAGACAAAAGATACATGCTCCAAAGATAATGAAATTGAGCAGAATTAAAAGTCTCTGGTTATTTGTCAGAAAAACTGATTATTTGATTATTTACTAGTTGTCAATTCATTTTCTAAAGTGGGACTTATACTCAGATAATCTTCTCAGCTCTGCTAATGCCAAACAACTTTCACAGTTGAACTCTCTCATCGAAATCATTATCTTCTGATTTCTTTCCCTGTCGTCTTTGCAGATAGCTGATCAGCTTCCCTGGATTTCGCAGACAACCCCCTTTTGTTTCGCCTGAAGATGGAAACACTGGAGTCGGAGCTGACCTGCCCAATCTGTCTAGAGCTCTTCGAGGACCCGCTGCTCTTGCCCTGCGCTCACAGCCTTTGTTTCAATTGCGCCCACCGCATCCTGGTGTCCCACTGCACCCCCAGCGAGCCAATTCAGTCAATCAGCGCCTTCCAGTGTCCAACGTGTCGTTATGCCATCACCCTCAACCAGAGGGGTCTAGAGGGACTCAAGCGCAACGTTACATTACAGAACATCATCGACCGCTACCAGAAAGCTTCTCTCAGTGGACCGAACTCTCCGAACGAGACCCGACGCGAGCGTGCCGCCCCCCACAACAAAGCCATGACCTCTCCCAGTGCCAGGGTGCAGTGTCAGTTCTGCGAGCAGGACCCTCCGCAGGACGCCGTGAAGACTTGTGTCACTTGTGAGGTGTCGTACTGCGACGAGTGTCTTAAGGCCACCCACCCCAACAAGAAGCCCTTCACGGGCCACCGTCTAATTGAGCCCTTGCTGGATTCCCATCTGCGGGGGCTTATGTGTCTGGAGCACGAGGACGAGAAGGTCAACATGTACTGTGTGACAGATGAGCAGTTGATCTGTGCATTGTGTAAGCTAGTTGGCCGACACCGAGACCACCAAGTGGCAGCCCTTGGCGACCGATACGACAAACTCAAGGTAAGACGTGATGTGCAGCTTGAGGAATGCTCAAAGATCAATGATTCACAAAACAAACTGTTCCTACTAATTTTAGCCCCTGAGAAACACTTGTTCTACACCACCTCACTGTTTATTCAGTATCACAGCACAACAGCCAGACCGCTATTGATAATTTGTTAAATTTCCATTTTGTAAAAGATATAAGCGGTTGTTTGAGCTTAGTGGTGTAGAAATGTGGGCACACACTTTGCATACAGTTGATAAGTTTTGATTATTTTGTTCTGCCTATAATTCTAATTTATAACAACATACATTTCATGCATTAATTTTATTATGTTTTTGACTGTGCAGCTGTGATATTAAATAACTGAAGAGCAAATTAAGCAAATAGTGGAAACTCGAAACATGCGATGTCATCTGTGATCTTTCTTGCAAATGCAAATAAGTTAATACTGAATAATGCTATTGCAAATTATTTGCATCTGTCAGACATTGTCAATTGTAAGTTAACAAATCTACAGCGGCATAGAAAACAAATACATTTCGCTTCCTTTAGATTCAATAATAGTGTTCCTGTGTGGTAATATTTTAGAAAATCCCACGGAAAGACCAAAATAAACAGTTCATACATATTTCTTACAAATTTGTTCAGGCAAACCCTCCTCCAGTGTTCCATTCACTGCACTATTGCACTAGGTTGGCACGTTCCTACAATAAAAATGGACACTGTAGTTTGTTTTCAGTCAATCCCACTTAGTTAACCATTTCTACCTCAAATTACCATTAGCATACCAAACCCATCCATCCATAAGCTTATCCTTTGAGGGTTACAGAGAGTTCACCAGCTGTGGTGAGAGGCAGGGTACGACCGAGAGAGAACGACAGTCTGTCGCAGGTCTGACACAAATAAACTATTCACACTTACAGTTGCACCTACGGGCCAATTCAACAAACCTGTGAGAGGAACCTGGAGAACAAATGGATGAGGTGATAGCTTGTGTGCATCAGCAGCTATAATGCGATGAACAGATGCAAATACATCCCTAGTTCTCTGGTGTGTTGATACAACCTAGCGATTTGAAGCGAATTTGAAGCAGATTTCTTGAAAGACTGAATGCTTGTGTGTTTGGAATTTTGATTAAGCTTGACTTGAAACAAAGGTAGATATGTTTTTTTTAATATATCAACAGCAGGCAACACAGTTTTTGAAGCATCCAAACAGTACGTGGTTGGCTGAGCTTAATTAAAACTTAATTGGACTGGAGGAGAAGCAGCCACAGTGTGTCTTCCCCATGACGACCCGCATGACAAATCTTGTGGGATTAACCGGCCCTTGTATGCAGCTTCAAGTATGAGCAGTTGATAGCATAGCTCAGGTGCAGGTGAGCTGGAGAGAAAACAGCACACAAGAGAGAAGGGGAGAGACAGAAGGAAATGTGAGAACAAAACAAGGTGTAATTATAAAATAATGTAGTTATTCTGGGCTTAAAGTATTCAGAGTACTTCCCCATTGCTCAATCTGATCAAAAATATAATTTGATTAGGTCATCCACTGCAGGCATTAATATAATGCAGATCATTAAAAACAGTTTAAGTCACTAAAAACTACAGCGCCCAGTGAATTTAAGAAACAATTTGTCCTTTAAAAGAAAAAAACAAAACATAACATTCTTCACCTGTTTTCTAAAATCTATATTTGGTCTTTTCATGGGATTTGTATAGAGGATTTGTTTGTTTTCATCCCTATACAGCAAATGTGTTCATAAGAAATATCTTTGTGTTAAGTACGTATAAGAATAGAATATAGAGTGAAGTGAGTTGAAGGCCGTCGGCCACTTGGCCACTTCTTGAATGTAATGACACCCAATGCAGCAGACTGCTCTCACAATTTTATGTGAAGTGGGACCACTCACTTTCAGCAGATGGGCTGACATCAATAAGATATGAAAAGATGCTGTTTGCTGGAGCATGAAAAGGTGCCTCTGCATTCCTGCCATTGTAGCCCTGAATGAGTTTCTCCTGTAAGAGATTCTGACTCATCGGGTCAGCATTTTGACAACACAGTTGGTCTCCAGCAACCTCGTGGGATCATTTTAAGACCATGACAGGGCAATCAAACTGCAGAGCCGCAAGCAAGCGAGACAATTTTATTTCAAATCTTCAAAACGTCTGTGTACTATTGAACTCAGCTGGATCGCTCTTTTTAGCTCAAAGTTTCGTGAAGTTCACCCTAAAGTTTTTCCAGATAATCGCATGAAGTAGACTGCATGAAGAAAAGACGAGGGCCCTCCTCCTTTCAGACACCCACTATGTCCATGCATGACTCACCAAAGGAAGGTTTACTGTATCACAAGTAACACTCCAACCCCTGTTGTGCCTGCTTCTCTAAATCACAATGGTTGGTTACAGTGGAGTTTGGACACAGCCAGTCTTTTGCAGCATTTTGGCGCGATAGGTCAGAGGACCAGTCTTAACCTGTCTCCTTTGTCTGATCATGCTGTCGTTGTGCAGAAATCTTCTGGCCGCTTTCTCTGTGTGGGGAGTGAACATTCACACCAGGAGACGGACCAGGTGATCAGCATCATTTCTTTGACTACACATTCAGGGACAGACGTTATGTTACAGAACAACCTAAACCTGAATGCTACAGTTCAAGGGCTCCAGTTGTTTTAGTTAACCCTTGAAGAAGGGTTAGGGTTGGTTTAGGGCAAACCCTAAACCAAAAGAACAAGTGACATGGGAGCGAAATACATTTGACATCTGATGCATCTGGTGAGTCGCATGGTAAAGGGACATAGTATTGACAAGGCTCATTTATGCACAACTTTAGATTCGTCTTCTGTCCGTACTCTGGTTTCATTCCATCCATTTTTGTGCATGGACAAAAATGATGAAATGGAGCAGTAGTACCAGAAATGTATGGGGGCCAGTGTTTATTTAAGGAATATGACCATAGGACAGGAGGACTTTTTTGAGGCGAGACTTTGCAAGTTGGTAAGAAACTAAAAGTGGGGCATACCGACATTTTTGCAGTTTTTGCCACATTAAGGTGAGAACAGTTATATTCTCATTGGAGCAGAAAATGTTCGATGTGGTAGTTAATGTAATGTCTTTTTTAATAAACACATTCTCCAAGTGGTAAAAGATGGTAGTGTATTGGACAGACCAATAGCTATCGTTGTTTTTCTCTTCTCTTCTCCTCTTCAGTTGCTCAATGTCACTTTTACAACAGGATATATCCTGCTACTAATATATGTCTTTACTTGTTTTTGTGTCTTGCTGAACCTTATATTTTGTGTAGTTGGCTCTATTGTTAGAAGCCTCAAGTGACAGAGGAAAAACTAATTTCCATCTTTGGAGAGAAATTGTTTTTTTCTCACGGCACGCAGGGCACAACCCAGGTGGCGTGCAGCTGAGTTTGTTTATAGTTGTTGGTTTTTCCAAACACATGTTTACAGCCACTACTGCCTCACATTTCTCTGCCAGTCCCTCACAATGGGATAGTGTGACACAGTGAAGGCGTGAGTGTGTGTGTCTGTGTAGGAGAGCACATGTGTGTATAATGTTTCTTTTCTTCTGGTCTCAGCATTATGTGACCCTGGTCTGGTGTGTGTTATTGTCTGTCCATCATCCATTATTTATATGATGCAAATTATAAAAACACTTACAGGCAAGTTGAAGTCGGACTGTGGGAAGAAACACATAAAGCAACAGGATCCAAATTCAAACCCAGCCCCCTCTTACAGTGACATAACATCATCAATCACAACTACAATGCTGACATACTAAATATCTAATATAGGTAGTTATAGTCATTCAAATAGAAAATACTTCAGAAAATCATTGTTAAAAGATAGTTTCTTATCACTAGTCTTATAAGTGTGATCTTTAAAGGTCCAGTGTGTAAGATTTAGGTGAAAGGGAACTATTGGAAGAAATTTAATGTAGAATAATCCTCATGATGTTTTCACTAGTTTGTTTAATCTAATATGTATGAATTGTAGTTTTCTTTAGCCCAGAAAAGGCCCTTTATATTTAAATACTTTATATTTACATTGAGAGGGTCCTCTCTATGGAGGACTATACACAACTAATGCATTCTGCACCTCATTCTATACAGTTTATATTTGTATTTGTGAAATTCAACGAGAGTCTAAACTGCCCTAATGTTTCTGAGGGCCTGTGCAGTTCACAGGATAGTGTAACAATCTTTTACAATGGATGAGGTTTCTGATGTTGACACAGGATAAAACAGCAGGTCCTGATAGTAACCTGTCAGGACGGCGAGAGGAAGGAAGAGAGACTGGCCAAAGCAAAGGTGTGGGACCAGAAGCACAAAAGGAAGCCGCTATTCTTTCCTCTCATCAGCCCTAAATGGTTTTAGGAAAGAGACTTCCATTAGAGAGAGCCCTCCAAATACATGAGGAGTATTAATGTTGCAGGAGAAGCCGTATTTTAAGGCACATTGTGAAATCCTGTACGCCAAAATGAAAGAGAGAGGACCCACTTTGTCTCTCACACTTTGTCTTTTCCATTTGCTCTCCCACTCTCTCTCTCTCTGTATGATCTGTACTCACAGTATGTGATACTTGTTGAAATCAATTCACAGAGACAGTGTAGACTTCCATGGTCAGCATCAGTTTGATCCATATGCTATGTTAGATTTTATAGGTTGTGAACCCAGCTCACCTTCACCTGCGACTCAGTGTCTGAAATAGCTTTCATCACTTTCTTTTCCATATGAATAAATCATACTGTATAGTGAGAGCATTAAAATAAGGCCTCTGCTATTTCAGTACACGGGGATGCACACGCCTTATAAAATCACAATGTGATCGGAGCTGAACAAGGTCTCACAACCATTTGCTCCAGGCTTTGCATCTTTGAAGTCCTCTCTTATCCTTTTGTTCTCTTCTCTTAGTTTTTCTCCTAACAAAAGAAAATCATGGGTCATATTTAAAATTACAAAAATATGTTGTGCTTTCAACTTAAAATCCACATCAGTCCTGAATTATTTAAAATCTGAAATCAATTCACTAATATCAAAGATTTCAAAAAGTATTTTTTTATTTTTTCATTTATTATAATCAGTTGAAAAACAAGTAATGCTTATTTTGTCCACAGATATGAAAACTGTTTTTGCTTTTGGTTGGACGACACTTTTGCTTGAAATGATTGATTGCACACTGTAATGTAATTGTGCATGTATCTTTTACTTAAGAATAATTCTACCTTCAATATCAGAGGATTGTTTTGCACCACCACCGTACACAGTCATCATGCTGCCCAATTACAATGAGAGATTTAGTTTGAAACATAAGCCTCTGATCTGAGTCAGTGATTAACGCAGCCGGGGTTTAGTTGTCCAAATCACTGGCAGATGCTCTGCTAAGCTCCGTGGCCTCAGCAGGCAGTATGATGGGATCTCTGGCACATGGGGAGGCCTGGGGATGGAGGCGGCGCTCCATGCCGATCAAAGCCCAAAATATGGCCAGTCATATGCAGTGGCGGCCTTGCGCGTCCTATCCCGTGCCCGTTACAGACATGGTCCTTATGTTCCCATTCACCTAGCTCTCCTCCAAGATTTATTCAGCTGTTTACAGTTTTATGTGGGGTTTAGTGTGTGATGAAATATACCTCTTTCAATTCTGTTTTGCAGCAAGCCCTGGATTCCAACCTCAGCAATCTAATCAAGAGGACCAGTGAGTTGGAAAGCCTGATGGGCAAACTTATCCAAACCTGCCAACACGTGGAGGTGAGGTTGTTTATCTGTTCTCTCTCAGGTGTGAGTGTGTTTGTGTGTTTGTGTGTGTGTGTGTGTGTGTGTGGCATTTCATGGGGGGAAAAAAACTCATTCAATTATTAACACCTGCATGATGAACTACTAACTCAGAGTGGCTTTCCACCATGTCAACAAGATTAATTGCTCATTAGGTAATAGATCATTAATTTCTGTGGTTATGCATGTGGTTTGCTGCAAATTGAGTGTTTTCATAGCAAGAGTGTAACACATATTTACACTGCTCAGCCACAACATTAAAACCAGTTTTAATATGCAGTATTTATATGGTCATGCATGTAGTTGCTGTAAAAACACAAAATGAATGAGGTGAGCTGATTGTCACTGTGGCCCAACATGCAAAGAAATGACATTAGGTTTTCCTGCCACTTAACCATTAATCTCACTGTTAGTAATGCATGTTATAAACAGTGAAATGTGCAGTACAACATTTTTTAAAGCAAATGAATTTGTCTCCCAGTGCTCACTGTCTCTTATCTTTATGTGCCCCATGTCCTGTCCAGGTAAATGCATCACGACAAGAGAACAAGCTGCTTGAGGAGTGTGAGCTGCTGATTAATATCATACAGCAGCGGAGACAAATCATAGCCACCAAGATAAAGGAGGGGAAGGTACTGTTTATCACCTTTTGTGTCGCGATAACCTTTGTTTGTGCATCACCTTGCATGTCCCGATACGCTTGCCTCCACACACGGCTGACAAGCTACAGCAGCTTACGACTCGACACCACGAGCACACTGTTGTTTTTCTGAATCCAGTGGTGACAAATCACCATTGCTGGGTGAAACCTTGTATTTTCAAAATGTTACCCTTCAAAGCAAGGGTATGTTACGTAAGATTCAATAACACATTTATCATCTTACAAATTATCATTTTAATTCATAAACAATAGAACACTCCCTTGCACAGGAGTCTGGATGTCACAGTCTTCATCAGTAGTCTGGCCAGTGGTTTATGGAGGTTTTGAATTGATATTTCCTTGTAACTGACATGTTCTCTACTTGTGCTTCCCAGTGATTTCAGCATATAACACATGAGCTCCAGTCTAATATGAATTATTAGATTTGTGTCATGGGCTGAGTTTTTACTGAAAACACAAAGGGCCCATGCATGAATTATAATCTGCAGTTGTTCCCGTTTTATATAGAAAAAAAGCTAGTTAAGAGCGTATTGCATATGGCCATTGTCCTACTTGTGCAAATGCAAATGTCCTCCTTAACAACCTTTGAGTTTGTTTAATTTGTTGTGAATGGTTATTGTCGGCAGTAATACATTATTTTCTAATACATTTAAATTGGAGACACATACAGCATGTCCTTACATAGTTAAACTATTGCCGTGCTTTCTTAACATAGTTTTTGTGGGTTTTTTTATATTTGTTGCCCACGTTACGATTGCATGAGAAAATGTACAATGTCTTCGTAGTTCAGAGAATTATTTTTTTTAAATCACAGCTATTTAAAATATCATCCTCTTCTTCTGATGCTGCTGGTGACATGTGACATCTGTTTGGATGAATTATGTTATTTGATCTTGTATTACTCTATTCTACATAAAATACTTACATGTTACCAACCAGGCTGCAGCATGAATTGTTTTGTTTTCTTGTGTCTAGTATCAGCCCACAGCTCTGGGGTACGTCTGGCACAGTGTCCACATGTGATGCTGATGTGCCGGGCCTCTCTCATTCTTCCCCTTCCTTTCCCCCGTTAGATGCCATTAGAGCGACGGTGGCATGTTGTGCTGTGTTCAGTGTCAGACTAAGATCAGCCCTGCTTCCTGTGTTGACCGTCTCTGGAGGAGGACTCTTTCCTTCCTCACCCCGTGCCTCATGTCAAGTTGTGAGGTCACTTTCAGGCAGGGAGGCACAGAAGGGTGGGGGGGGTCTGGTTCCTGTGACAAGTGTTATGAGGGATGTTTCATATATACTCTGCTCGTGCAGAGTAGCTTTTACAACAACAGAAAAATCTAACTGTTTCTCGCCCAGAAGGATTTTATAATTGGCGACATGAAATCCAATAAACCATCCGGCAGATTGGTGCGCTGTGGTCGTACATTGATCGGTTTATTTACAAAGCTTTTCATTTCCCAACATGCCTTGTTTTCTGTCCAGTCTGTGCGAATGAGGAAGCTGGCCCAGCAGATAGCCAGCTGCAAACAGTGCATCGAAAGGTCCTCCTCCCTCATCACTCAAGCCGACCATACCCTAAAGGAGACGGACCACACTCGTTTCCTGCAGACGGCTAAAAGTACCTGCGAGAGGTGAGAGGACAGTAGAGAGGCAGTGCCATCAATAGAGGATATACAGGATTAAAACACCTGTCTTGTTTGTACGTCTTTATTGCAGAGTATCAATGGCAACGGCATCCTCTCAAATCCTGTTACCAGAAATTAATCTGAATGACACGTTCGATAGTTTTGCTTTGGACTTCACGAGGGAGAAGAAAATGCTGGAAAGCTTGGATTACCTCACAGGTGAGTGGTGGTTTGTAGTGAGTACAAATATTTGTATTGATTATTTTATGGTTTGGCAGGAAATCTATGTGCACATTAATATTTTAGTGGATTTTCTGTGTTCATTTATCAAAACAGTGCACTTACAATTATCCTCACCTTATCCTTCAATTATGGATTCATGCAATTAAAAAGTTTTGGTGTGGATAGAAGCAGGGAGTTTATATTTCAGCTTTAATTGTGCCTTTTAGCAAATTACAAAAAACAACCGAATCTAAAAATGCCAGGCAGCATTTAAGATTGATTTTTTTCCGCTGAATGAAACAGATTTGATTGTTTTATGTTCGGCGCCCGTTGTGCAGCATGAATTTAACTCTGCATGAGGGCTGTATCTATAACAGCAAGAGGAACTGCTTAATTACACTTGTCAAGATAAAAACACAAATGGATGCTGCTATTTACCACCACTGGTCTCTGAGTTTTTCTTGTTTGTCACTTTTATACTGCTGTGTGCAGAATAGCATCCACGCAGCTCCCATTAATAATTTAGAAGCAATATTTTGTCTTTTGTTTTCTGACCACAGCTCCAGACCCACCAGCGATCCGCGAGGAGTTGTGCACAGCTTCATACGACACGATCACGGTTCACTGGACATCAGACGATGAGTTCGCTGTCGTGTCGTATGAACTTCAATACGCCATCTTCACCAGCCAATCGAATGTCGTCAGTAAGTCTATAAGATGCGCTCTGGTGGGAGTACGGTATAATGTTTTATGTGGAAAACAAGACAAATGATGGAGGGATTTGAAAAGGATTTCGCTCAATGACTTCAAATTGTTTGGGGGCTATGTTACAAGATCCAAACGTAATATTGTTTTGCAACAGCAGGAGGAGAGCTCTGTCCTGGCTCTAATGGGTAATTAGATGTTATAGAAACATACTGCCATTTTTACAGTGACTATACGGGAAAAAATAGAAGCCCAGTCAGACTAGATTTACATTCAGATGTATTTCATGTGCTCTATATTTTCCCTGGGTTGACTTGAGCAGAACGCAGTTTGAATTGATTCCTCTAACAAGGTCACAGCATGCTTTATCAAACAATTTATTCTCATCCGCCTCAGCACTCAAGCACACTTGGAAGAGCGGTAATGCGACTGTATTTGATGATTCAAAATGGCAGCTACAGATCGGGGCGCTGAATGCTGTTGTAGTGCAGCTGCACTTCTTAATTTCAAACACTGAAAGAGGCACTAATTCAAGAGTCTGCATGATTTGTTCTCTGTCGGTGACTCACACTCTCTCTGTGTGTTTGTGTGTGTCTGTGTCTGTGTGTTTGCTGCAGGTTTATGCAACTCTGCTGATAGCTGGATGATCGTACCAAACATCAAACAGAATCACTACACTGTGCACGGACTCCAGTGTGGCACCAAGTACATCTTCATAGTAAAGGCCATAAACCAGGCCGGAAACCGCAGCAGTGAACCAGGGAAGCTCAAGACAAACAGTGCGTCAGGTTCAGTAACTAAACAGAATTATTTCTGACAATTCTGTAACGCTTTGGTGTTTGAAAACCTAATTTTCTTTTCAAGGTCAGCCGTTCAAGCTGGACGCAAAGTCCGCTCACCGGAAGTTGAGGGTTTCCCATGACAACCTGACTGTGGAGAGGGACGAGACAGTGTCCAAGAAGAGCCACAATCAGGACCGCTTCTCCAGCCACAGCAGCTATGGCGTCACAGGAAACGTTTACATCGACAGTGGCCGCCATTACTGGGAGGCTCTGATAGGAGGAAGCACATGGTAAATACATTAACTTGTTTTGGATCATGTTGGCAGTGTGTGTGTGTGTGTGTGTGTGTGTGTGTGTGTGTGTGTG